AGTTAGAACTTAATAGAACGACAGCGAAGGGAAATGACCAAATACCAAATACCACCTCATACAGCTGGCGTGGGGGTTTTCAATAAACTTGAAGGATATAAGTTGAATTGTCATTGAAATGCTAATCCGGTGTGCTTGCATGATAAGGCGAACTTGATCAGAAGAGTGAATAGAATGAAGTCTGTCAATATAGTCAGTTCACCTAGATCATCAAACTCTACCTTGTCTTTATAAAGATTCGATATTCTTTATACCGTTTAAAAGAAATCCGGTTACCCTTATCTCGTCTAAGGCTATTTCTCTTATTTAGTCTTAATTTCCCTGATTATAAACATGAATCAGGATAAGAATAAACTGCTCATGAACTTCGAGAGTTTTTTAAATTATTATTTGACGTTTCTTTTTTTTTTTTTTTTTTTTTTTTTTTTTACGTTGGCTAATACGAGTGCGGGCGGATTTCTTCAGCACCGTTCTCTGCTTGCGAATACTGCATAGCTATTGATCTATCGGTGTTGACTTTAATCTTACAAGAATAAACATAATTGATTATCATGACTTGCTAACTATATAACAAGAAACTAATGAAAGGCACTAGCAACAAGCCACAAGCCAAGTATTCTACTTTGGAAAAGATAAAGTTTTCTGCGGAGATTTTTGATGAGATGAGATGAGANTTATAGTTACTGATGTGCTTCTTGTTTCGTGTCTTGACTCAAATCTTTGAGGTACACTTTTGTAGAAATAACCGATTGGGTTAGTGTTCATCGACTTGTTTAAATGTTTGTTCCCCGAGGCCGTTATATAATCTGTATTATAATCATTATAAACTTAGCTATTCAGTCGACTCGCCGGTTCCAAGATATCAAAAATTAATCGCGGCGACACATGGTTGACCCGCGACAGACATGTTCCTTGTCTTATTGTTTACTGAAACGATGATTAGAAATCCCCAAACAGTTTCGGCGAATACTTTGCGATTGAAATATTCATTGTTTTGGCAAGAGCAGATATATTTATCAAGTTTTATTCTAAATGGCATCCTGGTGGTCTAAGGTGTCTCGAGATTGACTTTTCATATATTTTTTAAAAAGAATTCCCCTGGGCTGATCGAAACGGGCTTTTGCACCGGTTATGGGGATTAGATTGAAGTTTCGATTATGTCTTTCCAGTTTGATAAACGACGGTTTCCTGAGCGGCGATATTAAAAAACCTATCGTAGATGACCTCTTTAAAACGAGCTATTGTCGAAAAAACTCTAAGCTAACTCTCTATAGTGCCGGCGTGAATTTATCTTGGACGATCTACATTAGCTTTTTTTTAACCTTTTAAAAAATGCGTCAAGTTGGTATTGTAGTGTGGGACTTTAAGGAGACACAACTAAAATATTCCCACAATGCACTGCAATGCCATCTCTTTCTTTCTTTAATTTTGGAGGTAATTTTGGTTGGATAATTCAACACAGGAATCCCAATTATGTTTTGGAGAATAAATATGGAAAAGCTTGCGGAGAAGAGTATTCATCTCTTGAGCGACATTTTATCAAACAACCCCCACGATTTAAGATTTTTTTTTAAAGAATGGCCCTTAAGAAACCACACTTTTGAGCGACCTGTCGCCCGGATGTCTTAAAGTGAATAGCCATAAGCTCTTGAACAACCTGCTATTTAGCGGCCTCAAATACAAGAAAACTTGTGTTTCTGAAGATTTAATAATAATATGGAATACCGGAGACTAAATATGTGTTTGGGGGGAGGGAGGGGGATTTGGTGTTGAAATATCCTTGTCACCATACAATAAAGACTTTCTTTGAATACTCAGTTCTTGTGGTATCAACTTATTTATCATTATAAATTCTGTTTTCTATTTCCAATTTGATTCAATTTGCAGCCAGGTTGAATTGCGTGTATCTCTTGTTTGACGAAACACCTTCGCGTTAAAAACTTCATTGCCGGGTATAAATCAATCCTGCTGATTTGTTTTTTTTTTTTTTTTTTTTTTTTTTTTTTTTTTTTTTTTTTTTTTTGTTTTTTTTTAAATGTTTTTTTGTGATGGTTTTTTAATGCTAATTTAAGGTAAAATATCTGGTGTAAGAAGTAAAGCCACCTCCGCTCTCAGTGTGTTGCCAACATTCTATCTTTCATCAGTGCATCATTCAAGGGCATTTTCTCGCGGTTTAGACCACATTAAACCTCTTAATAATGTCATAAAACGTTCATGCGATCTATAACCTTCTTACAAAATTTTTTTGTCAAATGACTTCCTTAAATAGGAACTGCGGGTTAACGAGAATATATAGCAGAAAAGCATTAATGGCAAATAGCTATAGCCTGAAACTAAAGCTTGAATTACGTCTTAGCGATCTATATAGTTAGCATAAAGTGTATTACGCTTATAATTGTTAAGATTCCGTGACCGTATCCAGATCTGTTTACTCTGAACTCTTTTCTCCTTTTCTGTTTCTTTAGGACTTACAAAATTTGAAACTGAAAAGCAAATTAGGACAGCTGTTTTTCAAAATTTACATGAAAATGAGAATATCTTGAACAAAAGGAAGCTTCCTCATGCTTGGAGGTATTCGTTTGTCTCGGTTTTAAGGCTCTCTTACTGATATAGTACGGCCCGACAGTAGACCTTTAACTTTTAGTTCTATAGAGATTTCCTCTTGAAAATACTGTACAGGAATAAATACTATCGTAAGATGCCCACAATATCCGTTTCACTTATATATGCCTACAAATAACAAGGTCAACCATTAGCAAAGTTATATATCACCTTACAATAGGCTATTGTTAAAAATCTTTTTTTCCTTTTTCCTGTAAACCATTTTTACGAAGGTTTAGATCGAATACGCGAAACAAGTCACCCAAACTGATCGCTTAACATTTCTGCCATTTATGACGTATAACAACCCGTATTTATCATTCGTGTGATCTATCAAATACTATATGTATCCATGACATAAATTTGAGCAAAACGACCAGATAAGCTCCCGAGAGTTTTAATTACAATTTTGTTCATTTTCCAACGAGTATTTTTTCAATCAAGAAACGTGACATTTATTATATATACAGCGATATGCAGAAATTCTGATCCTTTCGTACATACATACAATAAGCCGATCAAAAGCATATCAGAAATTATGGGGTATCAGTCATCACTGATATTTTTTTCGGGCTGTTCATCACATTCTGAAAAAAAAACGCCAGGGAAGATATCCAATAATTCCTAATAAAATGTTAATATACTTTTATGTATATGCAAAAGTATCATAATTTCTGCATATAACGATTTGCAAAAATTCTGCAATCGTCAAGTATATCCATATATCCATATATATAAACTAATTTGCATATTTCCAGATTCTTCGACATTCGATATTCAATTTTTTTTAAAGAATGTTTGCAAAGCGACTGCGGTTTCCATAAACTTTGACTCTTTATATATATATATATATATATATATACAAGTATAT